AAAAACCCTCTTATTTATTGGGATTATATTATTATTAATTAATTACTCTAATCCCACCTAAAGTTCCACTGATTTTTATTCTTTACATCAATTAAGGAAAAACGGACGTTTCCTAATGCAAGATTGAATTTCTCTTTACTACCATTAGCTATTAGATATCTGCAGTCTCAGCAGTGCTTTTACTGCCTTTCCTACTGCATTCTTCTGTCATTTCAATCTTTGCTTACGGTTTGAGATGTTTTTATTTTAACTTTGAACTTTGCTTCTGCTTTTAATTTTTGAAGAGTATAAGAGAAGTGATCTTTTGAAGAGTATGAGAGAAGTGATCTTTTTTTAACTAGTATGCAAAGATAATCAGCTTAATCAAACTGCTTTAAAAACAGATTAATGCCTCTTCTGAGTGGGAAGATGAAGGAAACTGATATGCCTACCTATAAAGGATTCCACAGGAAACTAAATTACTTACAATTAATGTATGAGTCAGTGCAGTGACAGATGTTGACAAAACTTTTTTGATGCTTTGGACTCTTACAATTAATTTTATTCTTCACTCATAAAAGCACAGGTAGAATGGAGAATGGAATAAGACAGTTTCAGAATGCTCTTATGTAGGACACTTCCCATCTGTGTTAAGGGAAAGTAAGATATTTAGTATGGCTGTTGATCTCTGCTTATTCTGTCATGCGTTTGAGTATCAATGTGTATGCTTCATATTCAGCTGCTTTCCAGGCTGGAAATTATGTAACTTAATCTGGGGAAGTGTATGATAGAGGAGAAGACACATGGCAGTATGAACAAGAAAATAATGTCCTTGAATATCAACATTCCTTCTCTGTGTACATGTTTTAAAACTTCCTATAAAGTAGTGACCTTGCACTATCCAGCCTCAGGAGCAACTGCATTCAGGGTGCCAGTCCCAATGCTTGCGTCCTTTCTGTGGTTTTTAGCTCAGCCACAAGGTAACCGCATCACCCCAAGTGGTAGGTAGCTGATAGTAGTACTCTTGTTGCTATTCCCTAGCCCACTAAGAATAGCGTAAAAATAGTTTTAGAGGAAGGCAAGCTAAAATCCACTAGGAAGAACATAAAGAGAACAAAAGCAATCTATAACCGATATGCGAGCTAAGGCTGAGCAGAAAGCAGCCAAACAAAAAGGTGACGAAATAGTAAGTGTGTGATAATACGGTGCAAGAAGAGGTTCAGTCACTGCAAAGCTAGGTTATGTGGGAACAGTAATATTGCAAAGTTAGAAATGTAAACAGAAATAGAGAACTTTTAATCGGAAGCTGCACTTGCATAATATTAAGGTTGTGACATGGTGTGGCATAACCAATGTAGAAATGCCGTATTTCAGCAAAGGGAGGAGAAAATACACCTTCAAAATGGTCAGTTACCAGAAGAATGTTTGGTTTGGTTTTGTTTGTCTACATCTTGGAGGATAGCTTTGTCTGTGGCTAGAGAAAATTTGGATTTGTTTTTTTCCAAAGCTATTCTTCTCTTCTGTCATTTCACTTTATGCCTATCAAATCATAATCAAACATCTTCTGTCCTTGCTAGATACAGCCTTTCAGCTAAGAAACTCAAGTGACAACTTTCCAATCTTCTGATTAAACAAATGTGTTTATTAAAACTTCTCAAGAGTGTTTTTCCTAACAATTTGCCAATGTTTTATTTAAATAAATGTTTTATTTAAATAAATGTCAAGAAAAACATTGTCACAGACTCGTGGTACAATTTAGGTTGGAGGTCATGTGGTCCAACACCCTGCTCAGAGTAGGGCCAACTTTGATGTTGGATCAGGTTGCTCAAGGGCTGGTCAGCTTTGGAATATCTCCGGGGATGGAAGTTCTAAAACTTGGAAACCTGTTGCAGTGCTCAACCATTACTCTGAATTTTCCCCCACAATTATATTATTTGTGTTTCACTGTTGCAGTATGGTTGACATATGCTATTTCATAGCATCTTCCAAGAAAAAACAATGGAGACAAGGCCTATGTGCTAGCTCACACAGGTGTGTTAGTTCACCTAAGTGTTCACCGAATGCCCAAGTTCCCAAATTAATCACAGACAAGGATCTTAAGAAGACAGTTCAAAGCAAAAGCTTAGTTTAAGTGTTCTTGTTCACATCACCGTAAGTACCGGAGCCCAATAGCAGAATGGCTTCTTACACGTTTAAAACTGGGCAATGTTAATATGTCCTTCAGAACCTGTGCTTAAATAAAAAAAGTAAACCAAACCAGCTACGAGAATGTGACAGACTAATAGGAGAGATGGTGCAAAGCAAACTCCTTTACTAGACATGTTTGACTTTGTAGGATTTACTGAAAGAACTGTTCCTGTTCCCTTTTCCATCTTCTAACCTTTGCTTTCCTAATGGTTCTGAATCTGTTCTTTGTGGATCAATGCAAAGGGAATGGTGGGAGCACACGGTGGGGGAGGCTGCATCACCCTCTTCAGGGGCAGCAAACTTAGATGTGCTTAGCTGTATTAATTAAACAGTTATACATCAGTACTTGGGATTGCTCCTCCCTTAAGTAATTAGTGTTTTTGAGATGGTAGTAGAATTCATAACGATGTTTTTTCTTACAGTCAGCTTTTTTTTATTTTGGCACAAGTTGTTGACTTAGGAAGTGGTAACATTTGAGGTGCTTATCTGTGACTAGCAGCCTTGCAAGAGGAATGCTGATGAGCATGTTGTGTTTTCTGAATACTGGCAGGAATAAAGCGGAATTATTAACGCTTATATTGGAACGTTTTTCTCTTGTTTTTAAATTTCTCTACAAAACTCTTGAGATTCAGTGGCTTCTTCCAAACCTCGTTGAATTCAATAAAAAGCTTGTTGCAGATTTTGTGAAGGTGTTTTTTTTCTTGGACCCAAAACACACAGAATAAGTCTACCTCCTGCTACCCTAAATGTGTATCTTGCAGTTTTAAAAGCAAGGACGTGGCCAGAAAACTGTCTCAGAAGTGTCGTTCTAGGGTTGCGTAGTCTGCTTTCATAGCTTTTTTTTTGTTTAATAAGCTTGCTAAGTATTCCTATCAAAGGTGACTTTGTACAACCAAGCAGCTCTAAAGTTGAACTTGTTGCATGATCAAGCTGGTACCTCGAAGTAAAACTGGTCCTTTCTGCTTCGTGTGCCGTATTTAATTATCAACCCATAAAGCTATTGGAATTGGCATGTGGCTTGTTGGTTAAAAATAAAAAAAAGTTGACCTCTGTTGCAGGTAACCAAATGTTGGTTTTAGAAACTCTTATAAAATTGTAATTCATGATTAGCTGAGGTTTTTAACAGCTGTGATCATTCGTAGGGTGTTTTCTGTTAAAGCAGAGCATCTTCATGTCACAGGTTTTTTTAAAGAATAGCTGAGTGTGTATATGTGAGATTCCCCTAGAGTGTATCCACCGTGTGAAATGTTAGGATTTCTTTTGCTTGATGTGTCTAAGTTTGTAATTTTTAAACTATCTCTTTCTACTATGTCAGTCCTAAAATTACAATCCTTTTTTGTGTAGTGAAAGTATTTTTTATTTTTTTCCTGTTATAAGCCATAAACTAAAGGACATAATAAATGAAAAATAGAGATTTTTTTTTTTTAATGGACCAGAATGTGAAAATTATCACTAGTTATGGCACATCAGAGCACAAGCAAACTATTTCTAGCAGCAGGATTGTGTATTTATATAAGTTACTTTCCAGGCACATACATATGCAGTATGCTATTGGGATAGCTTCCACGTTATTGTGAAGAGCAAATCTTCTGGTACACTGGATACAAGGGAGTGTATTCCATCAGTTTGGCTGCTTGCATGCTTTAGGAATGGTCGGTTTTAGTCTGGAACTTTTAATTTTAGGTTTTGGGTATTTTAGTATAGAACTTAGTGTCATGTGACTCAAGCTGTTGGAGCAGTCGTTTGGATGCTGTAGAAGACATCTGTGAATACCTACGGAAGTCACTGCATAAGAATGAGGCAAATCAGATATTTTATCCATATAATTTTTTTTGACAAATATGTATTTGTGACACAATACTTAAATTTATTTTTTAGGTTTAGCTATTTTTTTCAACACGCTGTTGAAGATAAGTTAAAAAACACTTGCATCTTCTATAAAAGAGCTCTCCTGTAGTTTGTATTGCTAAGTAATTTTTTTTTTTCACTTCTGTGTAACAAAGAAGTTTAAAAAAAAATTAATTGCTTTGCGGTCACCATTTCTGAACTATTCCTTACCAGAAAAGAGGCCTTAACCAGCGGATGTATACCTGTCAGAATTCAATTGTTGAATTCCCTCTTTGGGCTTATTAAGACCTCAGTAGTTACGACTTACGTGGTAGTTATACTTTTTACTTTTCTCTTTAATTAAGGCTAACGTAACAGTTGAGTTGGCTGTATAAGTTGCTAGCTATTTAAGAAGTGGTTTTTTTCAGTTGAAGGCTCATGTTTTAAAGTACTGTCTTTTTATTTACAGTTGCCAATGTGAAGTATCGGAAAAAATCGCTTGAAGCTTTCTGGGACAAAGGACTGTTTTATTATCTCTCATTCTTTGGTAAGCTAATTGTTTTATTTTGGTAAGACGAGCTACCTGTTGAAGGTGGATTCTATGGTTATCATTGATTACTCTCTTAAATAAAGCATTTTCCAAGATGTTAGACAAAAATCAATATTTTACTGAGCTGGAATTTGCAACCTTTAATAAAAAAAGACTTCTGATTCTTAGTTGTACACAATCATCAAACATGATTCTTTGCCTATCCTGTTCCTATTCCTGAGTAATGTGTAAATGTCCATATTGTTAGCAGCTTCCCTGGTAAATGCTTTTGAAAGCTATTCAGTTACTTCTACATGCGGTGCCAGGAAAGAGGGGAAACCTTGCTGTCAGGGACTGAAACATGGGAAACTAAGTGTTTATCCTTATCTCAGAATAATTTCCTTCCACCTGTGAAAGGGGAAGAAGTGTTTTCACTTTGTAACAGAAGCATCTTTTGCTAAAGCCGGATCACATACTTGAATATTTCATGTTCAAATATTCTAATGCTTCTTTGTCAAAACCTTTGGATTCCCATCTAAAACTTTTACAGGGCAACTGTGACACAGCATGTAAATAGGCATGTAAATAGCTATGTTTTGAGGCTGAGGGTCAACTCAATCTGATTTTGATACTAAAATAAATGGAATTCAGGATCTGGACAGGGAAGGCAGGGAAAGAAAGTGAAACACTTGGGTACTTCCTTCTTTCTTTTTTCCCTCCAGTTTTTCTTTTCCTTGCTGTAAGTCCAACTACATTTAAATAAATGTGAATTTAAATAAATGTGAATTTAAATGATCCTTTATTTATATAATCTTTTTTGTTTAGACTCACTGGCAAACAGATGGTTATTGCTAGTCTTAATTATGTACATAATTTAGACCAGAAGGCACATCTGAAATGAAAGGTAATTAAGATGTTCCCATACTGGCTGAACAGAGTCTGAGGTTACAACCTTTACTAATCATTTATCCTTTCAAACAGAACATAAGGATGGAGAATTAACAAGACTAACTTCTTTTTGGTGTAATTTAATAGACATGAAACTACAGTTGAAAGGGCAGACAGTAAATTGATAACATAACCTTTTTTGGCCTCAGTCCTGACAAAAAAAAAGTTATTTCTAACAATAAAAACAAGTTTCACTATAGTATTTATAAGCTATCTATTCACTACACTATTTATATGTGATCCTACGTGTAAGTGGGAGCCTGAATTTGAGGGTGCTTTTTATGAAGATGTTTTCTTGGTCAGTTATTATCTAAGCTGTATTTGAACACTTCCATTTAATTTCTGGGAAGTGGTTTTTACTGTCATGGAAGAGCTGATTATTTGCCAGCTGCAGTTAAACACAACGAGAATTCTGATTCCGTTCTGCCGCTAATCAAAAAAGATGGTATGGGTCAACTTGAGAACAGATTTCTTCAGCCAGTTTGTGCTAGTCTCACTTTGTGTCAAGCTGTCCTTCAAAGTAGCATGGTGTGTTAATGATCATGGGTAAAATTCAGTGGAGTGGCTCGTTGGGGTTCACAATATGAAGAATGTCCTCGTTCTCATTGCTAAGGTAGAGTTCTTAAAGTGAGGGTCAGAAATCCCTGTATTAGGTGTCACACAAGCACTGTGATCCTTTTTCTAGTCACATAACTAACCTGGAAGGGTTTGCTGAACGAACGGATGGAAATGGATTAGAAAGCTTTGGTATAGAAAGAAATTGAGATTGAAAGTATGGTTTCAGAGTTAATTCACCCAATCTCAGTATGGGCTGCTCCTGAGAATAGTGCGTGGTCCCTGTCTCTGGTAGCAGTGGTGTATTTCCTTTCCCTTGTGCTCAATCCAGTGATCATGAGATCATGAAGGGAGTGGGATCAACTTGTTGATGTGGTGGGAAATGAATTATTTGTTTCGGAATATTCACTGTCCATCAGATCAGTGAACTTCATTCTAACAATTCAATGTTTCTTGCTATTTTTGCCAGCAATTTTTAGAAGTACTTTTGTGTTGTGGCAGTTAAGTTGAAGTGTTTCATTAATACCTAGAAGCAGTGTGAGCATGCAAACTATTTGTTTTAGAACCAGTCTTATAAGTTCTTGTACCATTTATCTTGGCAACATCACAGTTTATATCTGATAATCCTGATTAAACCTGAAACTGCCATAGTTTTTCACACAGCTTTCCCAAAATTCACCTTAAAAAGGAACATTCTCACATTCATGTAAAAAGCCACAGTATTATAATAGAGGCTGTTTTGCAGCTGAATGCAGCAGTTAGAGTAAGAAACTTGTTCTGCAGTAAGAAACTTGTTCTGCAGTAATTTGGATAGTCTCTGCTGATGGTTTATGCTGGATTTTAGGAGCACTGCTGTAAGAAATTTTGGAAGACCTAATTTTCTAAGCTAATACTGTTTTTATTTGTATGTAGATGGTTATATACTAAACTTTAAAAATAAATATATCCAATCAAGTATAAAAGAACAATTTTGTTGCAGCACAGTGCCTAATATATTAACTTTCCATCAGTGATACTAAGCATACTTCAGATTTGTAATAAAGCTCATCTTTTTAATTAGGTTGGTGTTTCTTTAATAATTGTGCTTGAAATTGAAGGTATCTTCTGAAATAGCAAGGTATTTTTTATATTTAGAAGGCTTTACTATTAATGTTTAAAGCTTTGTTCAGGTTGTACATGAATTGTCTAGATGAATTGATCTGGAAATGTTTGGTCTTAATGACTTTAACAGTGGCTGCTATTCTGGAAGGCAGAATTGGTGCTGGTGAAGAGGTAGTTGGTTGCAGAAGCAGTCGTGCCAGCAGCCTGCAGAAATTGTAACTGAGATGTCCTCCTCAACAGTGTTCATATAAATATGCCCTAACTCTTCATCACTCTTCTGGCTGGCTGTAGACCTGATAGCTGAATGTGTAAGCTTATCATTATTTTAAGGACGGAGAAGGAGATTTGTGTAAACCTTGCAGTTTTTAAACCCATCATCTCTTGAATCATTAGTCTTCATTATATCAGGATATGCTACAAAGTTAATCCAGTCTGTGCCTTTTTTTTGGATGAGCTGTAAGACAGGGGTTGATTGGTCAAATAAGCCTGTTGCTGAGCCAGCCATCATTTTAAATTTGATTGAGCGGGAGGCTCATTTTTAAAAACTTGTAGATCAAGGAGGATGATGCATCGTGTAATCTGAAAAACACAGTGAGAACCAAAGGTTAGAAGCTGAAACCAGATGCATTTGAGAGAACTGCTATCCCCTCCTTTCTTGGTATCTTCAAGTCAAGAGTAGATGTGGTTTTGGAAGATAAGTGTACCCAAACAACGTATGTGAAATACCAAGTCATGCTGGAATCAAGCACAAGCTCTTGTTTTGAATGCAAGGGCTGGAAATTTATGGCCTCTGATACATTAAAGATCAAACCTGATGAATTTGTGGCCCTTTTAGCTTTAATCATTGTGATTCTTTGAATATTCTCATCAGTTACAGCATGGGTTACATATGAACCATCTTTCTTCTCCTGCCTCTTTTGAAACAAAAATGTTAAATAATTGTGCCTTTTTTAAACCAATATTAACAATAATACCATCTTCCTCTGATGTTGGTAGATGGCATTTCTAGATTTCCTTCGTTTCTGATAACTTAAAAGAATGTTCCTACTCTCCATTGTTCTTGCAGGCGCGGAAATTTCTGTGCTGGTTTTTTTTTATTTTTCCTTATCAGTTTCCATAGCTGATAGATTCAGACTTCAATAAAGTCTTCTAGCTTTTGTTTTTCTTGTTTGTTTAAAATTGGGATTTTATATTTACTTTTTACACTAATTTAGTGAATTAGTAGCAGTTCCAGCTCGATTCTGCTCATAATTTCCTCCTTTTATTTGTGTGTGTGTGTATATACGCATACACATACATGTCCTCTGCAAGATGTGCAATTTTGAACCAACTTGCAAGTTTTTATGTGCTGTTTCTCCCCTACTCTGGGGACATAAAGGCATTTGGTTTATTGTGATGTTTGTATTTAACAGAGGTTTTGGGGACAATGTAATGCTTTCTTCTCACTGATCATTTTTAGACAGTGGGATGCTTTAGTTTCAGAATACGTGCATCTGCTGCTCCTTTTCCCTTTGTAAATGTTGTGTACAATATACAAGATGTAGTTAGCGCTTCCTGCAGTGGTGGTGTGCTTGTGAGCTCATGGATTCAAAGTGGTTTTCTCTGTCAACCACAACACTGATAATTTGAAATACATTTATAAGTAAGGTGACATATGAACTGAGAACTGACTGAACTCGACTGATACGATGTCGTTTGTATCTTTTATGTGCTGTAGATTGCAAAACCTATAAAATACCTGAATGAATCCTTTTTTTAAAAAAGGGAAGAACCTACCTGAATTTTAAAAATTGAATATAAATAAATTTCAAAATCAAATTGTAACTCCTGTATTCACTTCAATCATTAAGTTCCTAATAGGGTCAATTGCATAAACTTCAAGACTATATGTTCTTTAATAGTTCCAGAAAATTTGCAGAGGATAAAAGATGGCGGAATTGTTAGTAGAGAGAGCAAGTTGCTAGTGTATAGTGATCTAGAGCTCTTGGAAAGGTCAGTGCAAGAAAATGGATATTTTGATACATCCATGGATGTAGAAAATGAGCCATAACTGTAAAATGAGGAATTTTATCTGTATGTAAATTCTAATTCATATGCCATAGGTGAAACAAGATTACTTCAGGAGGATCCAACAACCTGTGTTACGTAATGGATCAGACTAAATGATCACAGCGATCCCTTTGGTTTTATAACCTATGTATTTGTGAATAACCACCTGCAAATTACTTGAGAGAAAATTCAGGGTGATCGAGAAGGATGAACATGTTTTAATTTAAATTATATAAACAGTGGTCTAATTGCTGCATTCGGATGAGTATTCTCCCAGCAGTACATTCAAAGATGATTTTTCAGCATGAACAGAAGGAGCCAGACACATTTTGAAACAATTTTGTCTTGCAGGGGAGTTAGTTTATATGGATTTAATCTTTTCGTAATTACTGTTTGCTTGCAGTTTTCTAACAGCTGAATTCTCAGTCTTTAAAAGTTAATTTGTATTTATTTGCCAAAAGAAAATGAATTTAACTTCACCATTATACTTTTCTGGTTTTCTAGATTTTAATAAGTGAAGAAGAGCCTCAAAGTATTGTGTGGAAAGACGAGGATTTCTCCTCCTAACCAGGGCCTGTCATGGTAAGCAAAAGGGGTTGGTAAGGTCTGTTACAGAGCAGAATAGGCTAAAATCTGAAAATCGTTAGAGAATTAATGTTTACGTGTGGGGTTGTTGAATTTTAAGTGTAGTGCTAGACTAGGCTAGGCTGATGCTTTTTCCCCCTCATACTGTGACAAGCCTTTTTTTGTTTTTATGACGTTATTAATCAGGCTGCAGGAAGGAAACCTGTTTCTAATATTATATTTAGTTGTTTGAGTCCTTGTCTTCGAAAGTTGAGTAATTTTAGTAAGTTGCTGATACCTGAATTCTCTAAACACTTCATCCTGTTTGAGCTTTTCATTGGTCATTGATAGCTTGCTATGTGGTAAAGAAGGTAGCAAGTGACAGTGCTGAAGTTAACTGTTATGCTTTGTTTCTCAGGATGAAGAGACTCAGCACAGCCTTGAATGCATCCAGGCTAATCAGATTTTTCCCAGGAAGCAGCTGATCCGAGAGGATGAGAACCTTCAGGTAATCACGACACTGCTCCTTGCCAGTTAAGATCACACTATCTCTAGTTGACCTATGTATTATGTGGCCTCTCGTAGAATTTTCATTCGCAGTTGAGCACAGTGATAGGAGAAACACATTTTCTTTTTAAATACTCAGGTACTGTTGGTAGGACAGAGAACTTGTGCATTATATTACAAGAGATTCCTTAGTGTGTCTGAAAAATATAGCCATTACTTGTGTAGTAACTTCAAGTGCTAGGTTTTATTCCATAGTTTAGAACTCTTTGGTTTTTAAAAAAATAACACTAAGCCAGTTAAATACTACCATTACTTCTTGTTACTGAGAAGCCAAGTATCTTATGCTGCACAAAGTGGGTATTTTTTGGTTTCTTAATTTTCCAAAGTTCCTTTTGAAATCAATTTAGTTCAAATGATTTATCCATGTAGACACTCTTATATCAACGGAAGAGGTAATTTGTTTCATTTTAATAGAAAATATTTTTAATTGATTTAAGCTAAGTTGGTGTAAAACCAGCTTATTTTCAAGTTGAGCATTTACACTTTTAGCCCAGCTCAGCTAAACTGGGCTTAAGTCACACTTTTAATTAAACAGTTGCAATTTTTATGTGTAATACGACTGCAGGCTTTCTAACTTCATAAAACAGCAGCATGTTGTGCATTTTCGTATTTGCAGTAGGAAATACAAAGCAACTGGCTTCAGCTGTGTGGCATCTAGGTATCCAGTCTATGCTGGTTACCTGAGCTTGCTTAGTGAATACTGGGGACCAATAGCATAGATCATTCATCTTATATGTTTTGCCTACTTCAGGATGAATTTAATAACATTATGGAAATGCCACTCTCCATTAAGTAAGGAGTGAGAGCATAAATCAAGGGGTTGGTCAGACTGCTTGCCAGGATATTTTGCTCAGATTTTTCATAAAAAATCATTGTTTTCCCTACCAAGCACTTGTTACTCATGAAAATTAAGAGAAAATGAGGAATCCTTTTAAAAAAGACTACAATTAACCTCTGTACCAACCTTACCCAAGACTTTCCTTCTTAGCAGTAATAGGTAGGCTGAATTCTTTGCAGTGTTCCATTTTGATTTTATGATGATGTGTGCTTGAGCGTATGCTTACAGGAGGTACATATTTTTGGTAAACGGTTTCTGAAATATTTTTCTTCCCATTCTGAAGGTCCCATTCATTGAACTTCATGGTGAGAGTACAGAGTATGTAGGACGAGCAGAGGATGCCATCATTGCACTTTCTAATTACAGGCTTCACATCAAATTCAAGGAGTCTGTTGTGAATGTAAGTGTTATATGCTACTATGGTAATACAGGTATTCAGAACTCAATCCAAATAAGAGAATTTAGGATAAAAGTACAGTGATCCTGCCTTTTAAGGTTAGTGGTAATGAAAAATGTCTTTATGATGTTCAAATTACATTTTTTCAGGGAGAACAGATATGTATTTAGGCATCAAAAGATGGCTCGGCAGCTCTGAAAATCAGGCTTCACAAGGAAACTTCACATCGCTCAACTTCACGTTGTCTTTACAGCTGGCTGCGTCAGCCATTTGTTCTCCCTAAGCTCTGTATATACTCAGTAGAGAAATAAAAGGTCTTCCAAAGGGCTGTTTGGAGCACCTAAGCTAGATGCATGCCTTGCTTGGAGCTTCAAAAGGTTGGAAGTAGGTCCAGGTACTGAAGTTACATGCCTGAAGTTGGATAGTGTGAGTACAGTTGTTGACGTAAGAGATCTGTGAATTGGACCTCATCTTCAGATGCCTACGCATTTCTTTAAAGAGCTTTACTTTAAGCATCCACTCTTAAAAATTGTTACATATCCAGCTACTCGTGATCATAGGCATAAATTAAATGGGCATTGTAGAGTCCTTTGCAGTAGTATAATGCTGATATATACTAATCTTACTAGTTGTAATACCATTTGTGAACTATACAGAATTTGATAGGACATTATACATGGCACAGAAATATTTTTGTGGCTATTTGTAATAAAACCAGTAAAATAAAATCCAAAGAATCAAAGCATTTTTTTTTCCTAATGATGGGTTTTTTACTAATCTCCTTATTTCAAGACAACTCCTGACCCTGGCTTGTTGTTCACAGTTGCCAAGTGTCGGTCACAAATCCTGAACTATACAATGGTGAGTTAAGTGTAAAACACCAAAACTACTTGTTATTCCAAAGCTGAAAAAAGCAAGGGAAACAAAATTCAAGAATTGGCAGGTGTCCAACGCATACATGACTGAGACATATGTGACACAGTGGTCTTGGAACATCTGCGAGATCTCCTGTGCACCTAACCGATGTAATTTTTGATGCCATGTCAATCTTAAATTGTTTTTTAATTGTTTTGTGCCAAAACCGAATTACTAACTCTGTAAAAATGTTTACTAACTGAAACTCGATTCTTACTGGTTTATGTTGTCTCTAATCATATAGCTATGTTATCTACAGACTTTGAAATGTGCCGGAACATCTGCGAGATCTCTTGTGCACCTAACCGATTTAATTTTTGATGCCATGTCAATCTTAAATTGTTTTTTAATTGTTTTGTGCCAAAACCGAATTACTAACTCTGTAAAAATGTTTACTAACTGAAACTCGATTCTTACTGGTTTATGTTGTCTCTAATCATATAGCTATGTTATCTACAGACTTTGAAATGTGCCTGTGTCATAGTTATCATTAATAGCTTTCTTTAAGTGTTATTTTAGTTCATGAATTCTCAATGTAGTAGGCTGAATAGGCATGTCTGCTAGGCTGGTCAAGATAATGTACAGCATGGAAGTGCTGAAATTCATGATGATGTGGGATTTTTCAGCAAATAAAGGTATTATTTCTGACCATGGCAATTACTCAAAATGATGGCAAAAAATTTACGATCACAAAAATTTAACTGGAAATTTACAGGCTATTATCTTCCACTGCTGACCATACAAAGGAGAGGATACAAGTATGTGCATATGCAGGGGTAGCATAACTTTACTTTTCACTTCTCTTATTCTGTAGTCAATCCCGAAGTATAACTTGAGACTTAAAAGTTCAGCTGCAAGTGCCACCATGCATCACAATGGTAGCCAAGGGTCACCTAGGTGCTGGGATGCCTCAGGTACCGCCCAGCCAGCTGCATCTCTACATGCTGCTAGCAGCAGAGAGAAGATGCGTTAGGAGGCATGTGTTTTATAGGATTCCTTTGCTGCTCTGTAATACAAACATGGAGTCTAGGGCTGAATTCTGCCAAGGAGCCTGCTACAATAAATCTCTATTGTATTACTTACTGTTAGATTTTTTTTTAAATTCAGAGTCTGAATGTTGTATGAAATTGGCAACTAGAATTGACAAAGCAAAGAACCGAATATTTAAAAACAAGGAGCTGAGACGTGAAAAACAAGTGTAGCCCTAGAAATCAGGAGTTTGTCCTGAGGAATGCCAGGAAATGATAGAGTTACTTTATTAGAGAAGCCACTAATGCATGTACTGCACTTATTGTCATATCTGTCCTTAGGATGATTGGGGGTATTAATTTTTAAGAATTTTCAATTTAATATTTTTGAGCAGTAACAAGAATTGATGTTTTCTTAAATAATACTCTTTCTTTGTGTTCAGGAAAGAGTCCATAACAGTTTGTCAATATTACCATGTTAATTTTGCTTCCCTGACTTTCATATCCGGTATTCTGCCCTCTCACTCTGTCTGATACCTCCAAGATTGTTAGTCCTGCTTCATATGTCATCATCAGAAAGATTCAATTAGTGTATGAGGTGGAGCAGAATATAGATTATTCTTCTGTAACCATCTGACCAGCACTAATAACATAGTATGAACTCTACTGGAATCTGAGGCAGACAGGATTTGGGAAATCTTTAAGGATAAAACATACTTGCAATAATTAGGAACCATATTTAAATTGTTAAATTTTGGAGTAATAATCACTTTGGTTATTGTTGATCAAAATTATTGATCAGATAGTGATTTTCTAAATTAAATCTTCACTGAGTAGTTTTTGATTGAGTTCACCTTGATTCTTTCCTACTGTTTTTATATTGCTAGAGCTGTTCAGAAAACACCTGTAAGAAGACCTTTTTAAAAATGTATAAATGTTTACTAATGTTAGGAGTTGGGGTTTTAAATTATTTTGAATGATTTTCATAATTTTCATGAGAATCGCTATCCTAAGTCCAGCCACACTAACGACCTTGTCACCTCAGTGTAGAGAAGTACTTCAGTGTAAGAAAGAGGGTTCTTAACAAATATCTGTATTATAGTACTTGTAAAACGAATTGATTCCCCATGTCTGAATGTGCGGCTGTTCTATGCAGGCACCTCTTCTTGAAGTAGGTGGGATAGTCTCATGGTAGAAATGGTCCTCCAGAGAAAGCAGTATGCGTGTCAACTGCTTGCCCCTTAGTAAAGGCAACTGCATGAAGGAAATGGAATCCAGTTAAAAATGGATTCCTGGTCTTTAGGTTTTTTTTACCTCACTGTTCTCTTTCTTTTTACAATTCAATAGACCGGCTGTCAAAATGCTGCTTGTGAAACCTCAGTAAGTAGCACAATGCTGCTAGATCACTTGCTGCACCTGTGCTTGAAAATAAATACATTTGAAAGTTGATAATGCTCACACTGCAACACTGCAGAAAATGGCTGTATGTGTAAAGCTTTTCCATGGATAATTTCCTAGATCATAGTAGTAATAGGAACATGGTGTTTTAAATGCAAAAACAAAAGATCCAGTAGACCATGCATAAATTGGAGGGATTATGACATTCAAAAGTGTTGACTTAAATTTATCCATGGGATAAAAATGCAGACTCAACAGTGATCTCTCAGTGCACATGGGAAGTTTGGTTCCCAGGCTGATCTCTATTGATTGGCTTTCCTTAAGAAAATTTCAAACTTTGAAGCTGGTGAGTGTTTCTGTCTAATCATTTTTCTCCCTATAAGCAATTGCATCTATGGGAGAATTAAAATTTTAGTGTAGTTTATGAAACCATGGACTTGTATGTAGCTGCTTTCAAATAGTAGATTTTGGACACAGTAAAAAAAAAAGTCATGCTGGCAAGGTGAGGGAGACTTTCAGTCTTGGTGATTAAGTGAGTTTTAGTATGAGCTTTCCATTGCTTGGCCTTTAATGGAAAAATGGTTGGTTTGGTATCTTCCTTGCATATGTAGCACAGTTGTGGTTCATCTGTACTGAATGGTAGCTTAGTCCTTGTTTCATCCTTGGGTCCTGATGCTCAAATTGTTCACATTGCATGCATGTTGATTGTGAAAGCAGAGGGGGACTAAATGATTGCCTTCAAGACAAAACCTAAGTGTAATTAGTTGTAATTAAAAGCAAAATTTGCTTCAGGTACTCCTTGTAGGTTGTATGAACAAGATTGCACCTGGGGGGATTTGACTCCCTCCACCTAGGAGAGTCCTGGAACACCTTCTGAGCTGACCTTGCATCCTCAGTTCCTCCATAGGTCATATTGTACCATGCTTCAGGACGCACAGCACATAGCCTTGGCCTCGTGCTGTTTAAAGTAACCAGTCTGTAACAACCCGACATTATTTCAGGCTCCAAACTGGGAAAACAAGATGACGGTACTAATTACAGCGCGTGGCCCCTGGCTGCCACATGGTGTCCTAGAGACACTCAGGCCAAATGGTATACAGGGCAAAGTATATAGCATAGTCACTCGAGAAGGGGCTGGCTTATAGCAGCCTGGCCATGGTCCACTGCATACCACTTGGCGTTGTGGTCAAGGATTGAGCCATGGGGTGGGTTGCTTCAGCAGTGTAAACATAACTTGTGCTTTTTCTAACTACAGAGGTATATTTCTCTAAATATATCTTGTACTCCTGTTAGGTAACAGACAGTTCCAGTAATTAAAATAATAAAAAAAATTTTTCAAAAAGAAAGTTTGAGTTGTAGAATGTTGCTATTGTTTAAAATGAGTTAAATTTTAAAGAAGAGACAGTCAAGAGACAGATACTGCAAGAGCACAATGCTCTAGTACTCTCTCTAATGCGATATGATTGGCCTTGGATAACAATGCATGTTTATTCTTATAAAAGCAAAAATGATTGCTTCTCCACTGCTTTATTTTGATAGCCATTATTATATGGTGAAGTGCCTGCAAATAGAATTGATGGCTCTTTCAAGAGCAAGCTAACTGCACTGGGTGTCTGACTTGCTGCATGCATCAGCTTGAAAAACAACAATGAAAATGGAAGATTATCAGTGAGAGAGAACGGGGAATGAAGGCAGATAATTTTACAGAGTTTTACTGGGAGAAGAATAATGGACAGGAAGGAGATTGAAAATGCAAGATGATCAGAGGACAGATTTTTATGACTGGAAAAGAAAATTAAAAAGATTGATACGAAGGTTGCCCTGAGGAAAAGCCGGCAGATTCTAGGGAAATAGACGGTGAGCTGCATGTAGACTGTCAAGAGAAAAAAGAATGGCTGTTGAGCAGAGGGCAAATTGAAAGGGCACAGAACAAAGAGTGACTGTGAAAGAAGGAAATTAAAAATAATGCAGGAGTAGAAGAATACTAAGCATGTCATTAGAGTGCAGACAGGAGGAAGAGGAGCCAGAACCAGACTGCTCAGAGGAGGGAACAAGGTGAAGAACTGCTGAACTGAAGATGGACATAGGAAAAAATGCAATAAAAGAGGGCTTGGGGGGTGGGTGGGAAATTAACAAAGCAAACATCATTTGACTAAACAAGCAAGTCTTCTAGAGTCTTAACTCAGTTGGGGAAAGGTACCTTACTTTCCGTGTTGGTGCCGTGTAGGTCAATGGTAGATTTAAATAATTTGTTGGGTGTATGTGAGGCTGTCCAGTCAGGAAGAAAGAATGGAAGATTCTCCAGTCTGAAGTCCGTTCCAGTCCCTTAATTTATTAGGCAAAACTATCACAATTTATCTACCTTGCAGACTAGAATCAAATAGGAGAAGGCATGAAAGAAATTAGCAGTTAAAGTAAAAAAGATTACCTATAGCAACAGTACATCTGATCTTGTCTGTAATACATTTAAACACTCTGTTACATTGGTATCTAAGTCTATCAGCATCTTCACTGTGCTTATTCTCTGCAGGTGACTGCAGTCACTTTGAGCTTAAGCATGGCAAAGAGGGGGCTTATCTCACAGGAGGGAATCCTCATTTCATGTGCCCCTTCATGTTGCTAGTTACATAATTTATATTAGACTATGACAGATCTTAAAACAGTAATAATACTGAAAACATGGACCAAAATTCAAGTTCCAGCTTTATTTGAATACCCAAACTACTGGGCTGTCGAGTCAGACACCATCTTGTCTAGTCTCCTTGTGCATGAATGTTCTGTTCTTTAATGGCCCAGTTACGACAAGAGGAGCAAAGAATAACTTACCTGTACCAGCCTTGCTGGTCATGGGAGATGAGGGTTAGTACTTTCTCCAGCTAAGGAGAGTCCAGCACGGCTTCCTGGTTGTGGTCTGACAAGGGCAAGGATAAAGGTTGAGTACTAAGACAATACCTGCCTGTTGTATTTTGGGGATTGTGAGCTCTAGGCAATTATTTGAGCTTTTGTATTCAGAAGAGGACTCTGGACTTGGACTTTTGAGTTGGCAGGGAAACATGAGGTGCAGCTGTGAGCTGCGTGCCTGCCTCCCCAAGAGGCTTGAGAGTTTTGATCGCTCTCCTGGGCACAGCATTTACCATTAGCTTTCTCTAGGCATCTTCATGCTCAAAGTAAGTTTTCTTGTGGTTTGTGTTTCTGAGACACCTCTTTCATAGTTCCATTTCCTTTTTTTCATTCCACTGAAATAAGGCACTTTTTAAGCTTTGTGGTGCCTGAGTAGAAGCTGTCTTGATCACCTCAGATCCTTGATTGGAGGTGACCTTCAAGGACTTGTGCAGAGTCATACAGAAAGGCACTGGCGGAGCAGGGGGTTACAGCCACATCTTATAAGCCCCAAGCCAGAACGTAAACTGCTGGATCGTACTCCTCTGATGGCAAAGAAGATAACAGAGTATTTCAGTGTTTCTCTGATAGCCTTTGTATTTGTATTGATGGCAGAGGTTTTGTTGCCTTGTGTAATGTTCAATATAATCTAATAAACAGTTCAAACAGTTTTACAATTCATGTTTATTATAGATATTAGCTAAATTCTCTGTGTTTGGTATTTAGACAGTTATGGATGAGATAGTTGAATACTAACTTCTATTCATTTAAGACAGCAATGTACATTTGCCTGTCTCAGGTAAAGGTCCAAAAATATTAATGAAAACTAATATTTTCATCTTGTGGTTTCTTCTTATCTTTAAAGGTACTTGCCTGTGCTTACATGTTTTGCCTGATCAAGCTTCTGCTAGTGCAGAAACATAAGTGCATATAACTACATCTTTAAAAATTGAATGATTCAGCATTATTACTCTAAATATGGCTCCTTTGATCACGAGTGTTGATCTAAACAGGACAAATGGTTTTTCCCTGAAGAGGAAATATGGGATACTTCCGTATAACAAGCATCTAGACTGCAGCAGTCTGTTAAGGGGGATCTTGCTTAGCAGCTCATTTTTGATGCCAATGGCTAAAATTATATTCCGAAGATCCCTAAATTTGGACCTGTAAGGGAGAAAGATGCTTCCATGAGAGAGGAGCTTGTGGATTTCCGCTGCTTTTCCTGCCTTCACATTTTTCACCAGTGCTGCAGTCTTCTCAGCTGTGATCCCTTAAGGTTTTTGGACTATACAGCAGTGGAGCTGAAACTACTGATACATGGTACCATATTTCAGAGCTGTTGAAGTAGTTATACTTAGTTTTGTTTGGTTTTCTCTCTCTCTTTTCAGATTCCATGTAGTTCTATAATAAATCCTTGTGAGATATGCAAGGAAATTACAGTGTTAGTGCTGTTTGAAGTAAAATTATATAATCTTTTTAATTGCAGGTTCCATTGCAGCTTATAGAAAGTGTTGAGTGCCGTGATATATTTCAACTTCATTTGACTTGCAAAGACTGCAAGGTTATAAGGTATGAATAGGCTGAATGTTGAATGGGGGGTAACTTTGCTTTCCACATAACTGTGGATAGCTGTGACGTTTTAAGGAAATGTGTTTTCTTACTTAGTAGACTGCTTTCCCTCGAAAGATTTTCTTTTGTCTGATTTTGCATGTGATAGATAGCTGGGCATTTTTGTAAAGAGGATGGGAGCAACGTGGTCTGCATTTTTGCTTGCTGTGATACAGTATAGCAACAAATCTTGGTCTGAGCCAAAGTGGCTGATCTTGATTTTATTCTGAAATTAATTTTAGTCTCAAGCATTTTCCCTGCCTTACAATCGGTTATAATGTATTGCTTCAATTAGTTATAAGATGCAGAACTAGATAAACCACCGAAACACACACTTCTTAGAAAAATGTTTAATCAAGATTTGGCGTTTGGAGGGTTAAGGTATGGGCTTGTGCAGTCTACGTGAAACCTTCAGTCTGGATAGCATCAGCCACCCTCCATTTTTAACAGCTGTGAGGGCACAGTTGCTATCCTTAAGACATAGTAAGCCCATTGGAAAAGAAAGTGAGGGAATAAAGTAAAGCCAGGTCTGCAACCCACTTTGCAACCCAATGAAGCCAGGTCTGCAACCCAATGAAGTAGATAGCATCAGGTAGCAGGGAGTATTTATTTACGTCTGTCCTTCAGCAGACTTCAGAGTCTGCCCCAGGAGTCTCTGAGCTACTGAGCCTGAGCTACAGCTATTTTCTACTTTTCTGCTGCAGAAATTAATTTTGATCTATAAACTTTAATTAACAAGAAAGGAACATTTCTTTTTGATTAAATGTTTGCTGGCAGTACCTTTTGTATAATGAAATGAGCCCCAGTCATATCTGAGCACTCAGAATGTTTAACAGGCCAGCTGTTTCCTGAAATGCTGTATTTTGATGAGGACTGATTTTACTTCAGAAGTAATATTTAGTTTAATTTGAATTAAATATTTAACTTCCTCTTAACTTGTAGCTCTTGACATTTAAAAAGTCACCCTTCCTCTCTACATTAATTTGTTGTTTCTCTTCAGTTGTAGAATGAATACAAATTATTTGTATTTATGGCCTTCCTTATGAATTTTCCTTCAAAATCGCATCTCTGAGAATCAGTGCTTGGTGACACTGGCCGTTGGAAGATCATGAAGTATGGGGCTCAGATACCAGATTTAGAACATGTTCGTGTTCTTTTTCATGAACAAAGTAGTTTGTGTTTTGAATAATAGAGCTCAAGCAAAGATAGTACTTGTTATTTGCAACACTAACTTTAAAAGAATTTAGAAAGAAAATGGGGTCTTTAGGATGAGATGTATCTGGCCTGATAGAGGATTATCCAGTCTAAGGTAGTAGTCTCGGCTTGCTTTATAGTCAGTGATGGGAAATAAAAACCTCCAGGCTGCAGTTCCTCACAGCTATTTAGACACATTTCATGAGTTGGATGTGTCTTTTTCCTTCCACTGACTGACTTTCAGATATTTGCAGGTAGGTGTAATAAATCCTGCCCTTAGAGAATACAGATGCTGTCATTAACTGTGAATGCAGTAGAACACAGACTGAGCTGAATGTAAATACTTGGTGAATATTTTATAACTATAAAATCTTGAAGAAATCTGTCGGAGCAAAATAAATCACTGATCTTATTTCCACCCTTTTATTCCAAAGGGTCCAGGAATCCTCTTTGAAAAGACAAGCTAATGTAATTTTAATACACTGCTTTGAAGATTAGTTTCTCCTATGCAGGGAATATTCTTGCTAGTTGTTGTGGTTAGTCTGTTATGTTAGGGAAGGCTCGGTTTCAAAAACATTGTTTGTGCTTCCCGCCAAGGCCAGAAAGAGAATCTTAGCATATGAGGTAGGGGAATAATGTAAGATTTCAGATACTGGAGTTTGTCCTCATTATTCTCAAATTAAGTATATTAATCAAATGGATATTTCTCCTATGAGGAAAAATGTGTTCTTGTTTATGGGAATACGATGCATAGATTATAATGTATGTGATGGTTTTGTGAGTTTCTGTCTGAGACCACGAGTCAGCAAGTCGCTGTAATGCATTCCTGTCTTTGTGTGAAAGTTGCAGACTGAACTCAGGGATATTGTCCTTGGTTTTATAGTAAACATATGCATAAACATCTCCTTCATTCATGACTAGCAGGGCATACTGCTGGTTTATTCACAATCACAGAAGATTGCTTTCCTGCTTACAGTTTATTTTGACTTCCTAAGTGTGTATTTCTTTACTAATATCCAAAGGTTTCATTTTTACTATCCATTAGAATGTATACAAAAGCGGAACGAAGTTATCAATAAGATGTTTGTTCTCACTTTTTGCTTTCACAGATGTTTTCGTAGTCAGCCTGTCAGATCTTACAGTCTGGCATCTTTTACTGAAAATTAATAGAGAAATGTTTGTTTCTGGGACAGGTGTCAGTTTTCTACTTTTGAACAGTGTCAAGATTGGCTTAAGCGACTGAACAATGCCATCCGCCCTCCTTCGAAGATAGAAGACCTTTTCTCATTTGCCTATCACGCTTGGTGTATGGAGGTATACGCTAGTGAAAAGGAACAGCACGGGGATTTGTGTCGGCCAGGTATGGGGAAACGCTTTGGGGATCATCACAAATGCGTTGACTAGTAACTGCCTGTTTGCTGAAATCCAGAACTTTCAAAAAAAGTTATAAACAAATTCAGTCTGTGCTGTTGTAAACTGAACCTGTATGGAATTTTTTTTGTACGTGAGTTCTTGCACTTTTTCACTAGCTGGTGAATATACTCTATGTGGTAATTACATAGGTATAGTATACCTTCACTTACAGTGAGGTGTCCTTTAATGTCTTGCATGTCTGCTGCACAGTCTGAGTTTTGTTCTGTCTGAATAAAGGAGAGATTAGCTCCCACCACAGCTACTTTGGGATCAATACACAAAGCAGTACCTGAATGTCCTGAGGAGATTATTGTGATGGATTTGATTTAGTCAGTCATGTATAATACTAATAACGTTTTGTTCACCATAGCAGCAACTTTCAATCTAAAACATGTTGTATTGATTGTGCCCACATTTTTTGTAATTGCCTAGAACTGGTCTTCAACATGGATGTTGAGGAGCAGGAGGTGTGGAGGAGAAGGAAGTCCCTGAGCTGCTCCTGAGGTTCATTCACAGCTGCAAGACAGCGACCTATTTTAGTGAAATATCATCCTTGCTGGAAAATTTTAGAAGCCCACAAGTAAATAAAAGCTAAAAATTGGGATGCTGGTGGTTACAGCATTTGTCTGAATGTAAGGAAATCTGAGTTCCAGGCCCTCTCCATTCTGAGGCTCTCTTTGCTCACAATTCATGTATCTGAGAAAAGTGTCCCAATTATTAGGTTGAGGAATGTTAGTGTGATTCTATACTTATTACTGAAGCTGGTCTGGAGCTGAGCAAAGACTATAATCTCTTTGGCGCCCAAGGAAGAGCAGTGAACAGGTAGCACACAAGTGGGAGGAGCTGCTCCTTGGTTCTGGTTCCTGTTCTTACACTTTATGTCAGCAGTTACTGAAAAAAGGCAAAAAAATCCTCAGAGCAGAATTTTAAACTCAGGTCTTTTCCCTCCTAACTAAATTCAGGAACTGGAAGATAGCAGACATGTAGATGGCTTGCTAAGTCTCCTTGTAGTCCTTTTCTTTTCCTCACTGAAACAGACAGGCTTTAACCTAATGCTGGGTTAGGGTAAGAAGCAGCATTTACCTTTTTATTAACTTTTAGCAATCAAATCTTTTTCTTGTAGGTGTGTCTATCAAATAATTTTCTTTAATGTAGTAGCTTTTTCTTCCCTGTGGCTTGCTTATTTCTGGTGGTAGATGTTCTCCTTCTAAGAGTTGAATTACAGTTGAAATAAATTATGGGAATGTAATTGAAGAAGTTAATCCCAAGATATTGTAATTTATTTTTTTACATACAAGGAGCCCAATATTTGGTAGATATGAACAAAAATACTAAATTGCTACAAAATCTATCTTAAGTATCAACTTTTTGGGAAAAAATGTAAGTTGTTATCAATGTGTGTAATGGGAAGCTCACAAGATCAGCTTTTATAGTCAGAAGGAACAAGTTCACAAAATGTATAGCTTGCTTTTTCTGTGATTTTGAGAGTTGATTGGGATGCTTTGAAAATATTATCCATCTTAGCTCAAAATGCCTCTTAAAATACCAGCATTTCAGGAGGAACGGACAAAATGTTAAGGATAGGGTTTCATTCTCAGAGGAAAACCTATGATTCCACGACACGCATGGTAGCTGAAAAATTAAGAGGGAGAAATCAAACAGAATATTTCATTTTCATGTAGTTCTATGTGTTTCTCTTAAAACCCACTAGCAGTATGCAACATCGATGATTGAGGATATTTCCAGTATTCTCATTTGCTGTCCAGAAAAAGCCTTAAGGATGTATCAGAAGTTTTAATGACCATTTCTCAAAGCAGCTGATAATGAAGCCCTTCCTCAGTGCTGCAAGCGCATGCTGCTGTTCCAATAAAAGCTTTTGCTTTTTTTTTAAAAAAAAAAAAAAAAGGCACTGCTAAGGAAGAACGTGACAGAGGTTGTTGTCTGGCTGGAATGTATTGTCCCAGTTTCACCTCTGCACTTGACAAAGGATCAAAGGGCTCCTCGCAGAGCTGCCATCTCTATGGAGTCATCCAGCTTTTGTAAAACAGGGACTCAGGCAGCTGATCTGTTTGAGTAGGTGGCTAGAAGATAATAAATTCAAGCTCATGCAGAGTTCACGTGAGAAGTGGGAAATTGCTGGCAAGCTTCAGTCTAATTGATCAGGCAATAGGGAAGGTAGAGCAGAACTACAGTGCCTGTGTGGTACTGAGACTAGCCTTCTGCAGAAACTGCACGACACAGGAGGCAGAACTATTTCTTTTTTACGGCACTGTTGTACCAGTGACATGATGTAAAGGGAATAAGTGATGAAGGTCAGTCAGGCCCATAGATGTTACTGCCATCTGCCTTGAAGAGTGAATATTCTCCATTTGCACACAGTGTCATTCTCACATTTTACCTTTCAAAAAGCGTAAGAAAAATAATCTCATTATGCAGATCTCTTTCACATTGTCCATATTGTAAAGCATGTTCAGATTTGCAAAGTACTATTTTCAGTGTATGATCTGACCTGTAGGAATGAATAACATTATAGCTTTTCTTTCACAGCTAATTAAGTCCTGTAGTTAGGCTGCTATCTTTAGTCTTAATTTACCCATTTCTCTATATTTATCTCTAATCTCTCTCTGTAACGTCGCATAAAAAATTGTTTCAGACATGTACATTTACATCTTTGAGATAAATATGTATCTACATATATCTCAGGTATTGAAAGACTTTATGCGTTTTCTGAAATATATAATGGAAAGATGTAATACTTAAAGCATTAATTTTTCAACAGATTTTTTTTTTCCCCCTGTTGGGTGATGTTCTGCCTCATGATTAAATGATAAGTAATTTAAAGAGACAAGCAATGGACAGACTTTCAGAATCATTTTATCTAGTGTTGCTCACATGCTCATTAAATTTATCACATTTCTTAGCTTTGTGAACCTGGAATTTTGTACATTATTCTCTTCTACATGTTGATTGAGTACCTTATAATTCTCTAGACTTTGTCTATCAGAATAATTATTCTTTATTGCCATTGTATATTTTCCAATGGTATTTTGATACTTTAAAAAAAGTGTCTAGAAAATAAATGGAGCTCATTCCAGTTCCTTTAACATATTAATCCAGGAATTTGTGAGGATCTTGTGCCTGATATTTGTGTAAAACAATCTATGCATTTTATCTTCGTATCTCCACATGACTCATGGAGGAATAATGTCCAATTTACAGATGGAAAACTGAGGTGCAGGTTAAATTACAGGGCTTGCCTACAGTCATACAGGAAACCTGTGGCTGAAATTGCATACTAAATAGAGATTGCCCAAGTTCCAGACCACATTCCATATATTACCCCTTCATGTATCAGTCAGACCAGAGTTTCACGTTCTTCCCATTGATACAGAATTCTTCTGAACTTCAGAAAAGAAAAACTACTAGTGTTTTCCCACTAAGACTTCTGATGGATCTAAATTGTTTTTGCTGATGTGCTTGGTTCCGGGCTGCAGCATTATTGTTTCTTTTGTGAATTCACAGCAGCTGGTCATTTCAGAGAAAAAGTCCTTGATGGACTTTGACATTTCTGGAGAGTTGACCAGGGAGAGCCATCAGTACAAGCTGTGGTTCCCCTGATAGGGATTTTCAAAATAGGGTTGTGAAATGTAGATGGTGTTTTTGGACTGTTCCTTTCTCTTCAGTTTTTAGTAAGTATGAGTGCAGTGGTGATTTTCTCTCACTGTTTTGAAAGGTAGGAATGTTACTTCTTATTTCGCATTTATTTTCTCTCTCTGCTTTTGATACCCAGGCGAACATGTAACTTCAAGGTTTAAAAATGAAGTGGAGCGGATGGGTTTTGATATGAACAATGCCTGGAGGATTTCCAACATCAATGAGAAGTACAAGTAAGTTATGTGGGCTGCTGATTCAGAGCCAAATGGCATCTCAAAACACCAATTTTGTTATAGCAGATAACTTGGAACTTTTTCCAAGTTTTACAGTTCCTAACAAGGGACAATTAGAATTACGATTTTTTGTTGTTTTATAGAAAAAATGTGCTTTTAAAGTATTATTTAGTATTTTATTAGCTGCTACAATTTTTGTAGGCTTAGAAATACCAGATTTTTATGTGCTTGCTGGAGGACTTCTTGGAGAATAAGCATTCTAATGGAAGAAAGGGAAGCCTTAAGTGAGCAAAGAGTGGAGTTTGATTGAACTCTTATAAAAAACATTTTTTTATTGTGTCTTATTCTCTAACTTGTGACAAAGACTTGTATTAAAAAAAAAAAGTTGGTTTGGAAGAGTTAAGCTTGTAGATCCTGAAAATAAGAGAAAACACCTCCTGTGGTCCTGAAAGCATAGACAAATGTCGTCTTCTCTAGCTGCTGGAGCAGAGAAAGGTGTTCCTCCATTCACGGCTGGTAGGACAGAGTGTACTGGCTGATCCCTAATCCAATTCAGAGCAAAACCAGCAGTAACACTTTGTGATGAAATATGTTTCATTGCTCTGTCTTTGCAGGATAATGACTTGCAGCTGGTAGTTGGTGTCACTGCAAGAAGAGTATCTGTCTTGGTTTCTAAAAAATCTAGGGAAGAAAAAATAGCTATCCCTTACATATTTAATACTAAAGAAAAAGGAAAAAAACTTTATATGTCATATGGAAGCAGAATGACACAAACTACTGCTTTTCTTCTTGAGGCCAGCACTTGAAAAAAGAGCATTTTTTCAGGGTGATTGGTATGTTTTTCTGAATAGAATCTTAGACATGTTCATGTCTGTCCTTCTTGTGCAGTAAATGCATCTCTTTAAGGGGATGGACTGGGGATGAACTAGTTTATGATTCAGCAATATACTGCAGTCATTGCTGACTGCTTGCACTGTTCTCATTGGCAGTCATGGCTTTATTAGTTAAATCGTGGAGTAGAAGGTGCATTTAGTTACAAGAAAGTTCCAGTTAGCCAGTGCACTCGGATTCCTGCGTTCAGTGAGGGTTGATTAGCCAATGTACTTTTTCCATGCTTACATGTGTTTTTTGTCTTGAATCCACTAGCCCAGGGTGGCTCTGCTTCTGTGTTTGGTGACCCAGAAATCGAGTGGCTAATTCTTTAGCACGGAGAGACATGGAATTTCTTTTCTGTGGTCCAGTTTATTTCAGCAGCTGGAGTTAAAAAATCGCTTACATGCGAATTTCCTGAGAAAACACCAGCTTGAATCTTCTAATTCTGAAATGCATTTATGCACCTCAGTGTTCACAGTGCTTTTTGTATATGCGAAGGAGGAGTTTACTGACATACAATGAAATGGGAATTAACAAAATGGCAGTTTGCTGAGATGAACAGCTGTCAGGTTGCTTATACTGCTTATTTTGTGTGTGTTGTCTGGGAAGCGTGTAACTGCTCTGTATTGCTTACATTCAACCCTTTGCACCACTTTTCTCACAGGCTCTGTGGTAGTTACCCCCAGGAAATCATAGTTCCTGCCTGGATCACGGATAAAGAGCTAGAGAGTGTGGCAAGCTTTCGGTCCTGGAAGCGTATCCCTGCTGTTGTGTACAGGTGAGGCTCTTGCAGGTGGAACAGCTTTCACCAGCCTGTAAATGGGGTGCTCCAGCAAGTGAAAGCTGCAATAAGTTGTAACTGGTAATCTTGGCTTACAATGAAAGGTGTTCAGGCTCCTCTGGGCCCCAGATGTCCCCTGACAGACTTTAGCAAAAGTGTTAAAGGTATTTTTAAATAATATTTTTATAATTTATTCAAAGTAAAGAGAGGTCTGGCTTGCATCTTGCTGTATTTTTGCATGTATAACATGATGTGGAGGGATGCTGCATGAAGGCCCAGGACCTGCTAGGGTAGAGTTGGAGAACTAGGCTGGGAAGAGGCAACAAAACCTGGCACAGTCCCTCCGTGCTGCCTGGTGGGGTGGTACCCAAGCTGATCCACCCTGGGACTCTGTCTGGGGTTAGGTCCTGCTTTTCCACTCCAGAAGGATCCCAGAAGCAGTGCAGAGAGCAGGACCTTGGAACTAAAACCAAACCACCCTAGGGGTTTAGATACCAAACAAGGATGACGGGGGACCCCTCACATGAGAAGACTTTCAGACCTGTATTTAACTGACAGCAAAGTATGACCTGTTAGGCCTGATAGCTTGGGGTCTTTGTCTCTACATTTGCTACCTATATAGTATTGTTTTATACCTATTCAAAACTCCCAAGAATGTGTGAGACAGCAGCGCATATTGACCCTTGTCAAGCCATAAATGAGGTAAGGCAGACTTACTACACATTCACTCTGAGCGGGAATCATGGTTTGTATCTTTTAATTCCAAACACATATTGTAGGAGCACTCATCATTTGCATCTCCTGCAAGTCATTCCTAGGGCAGTCACCTCAGTTAAGATTGAGTTTTTTAATACGAAAATGAAAAAATGTAAGATGAAGACATCAACACAGCTGAAGAAATGATAAATGGCATCTCTGGCTAGGTACTCTAATTCTTCTTCTTTCTCTAATTCTCATCTGGCTAATACTCAGACTGCAGTACAAACAAGGACAAATGCCAAAATTATTTAAGGGAGATATAAAACTCAAATTACAAACGAATATACGTGTTAGCTCTATCTGCATGTTAGATAGTTTTAATCAGACAGTCTCTTCGTTAGGTTGAGTCCAGCAATTCTTCATACAAAATTGCTTTTTTTTTTGGCAGCTTCTTCAGTAAGAAATGTATTTCAGCATCTGTTGTGGGTTTTTTTGTTTGTTTGTTTGGGTTTTTTGGTTTTTTTTGTTTTAGGTTTTTTTTCCAAATATTCTGGAACCTGTCATTTAATACCTTGGCCACTTTCCTGGTGTAGTTATCCTCCCATAAATGTTTAAAATCTCTTTAAAAAAATCAGATGACAAAGGGATTAAAAAGATAATGAATACTGATAATTCCATTAAGTCTGCCTAGCCACCCATTCCTTCTAAACAGACAGAAAGGAAAAGCTGTTCTCTGAGTGTCAAGATAAATTTAGAGAGCAGTAAAGTTGACAAATTCATACGGCCTGGGTTGGAGGAGCAAGTGTACAAGTGTTAAGAGTAGGCCACAAAACATTATTTACCTAGCTTAAAAGGAGAACAAATTAGCTTGTGGCAGCAGACCATTATCTTTAAATCCTCCTATCTTTTCTCCTTTTTCTTCCAAATAATAAAGGGGTTAGCATCTCTTTCTGAATGTCAAGGAATCGCTCCATCGTCTGTTCAGCTCTGTGATGGGGAAAAAAATGCTTTCCGCCATATGCTAATTTTTTAAGACTTAAGGTATTTTATTATTATGGTAGTACATATAAGTATGTATATTATATATGTGTATGAAAGAGAGTAGTGTAATTTATATATGGTTTTGTGTTCAACTTTGGACACTGCATTTCAGACCACTTTGTGCCTTTTATGCAGTTGTCACATAATTGGGGGACACCTCACCTGCAAGCACACTTAACACAGGGAAGCATCCCTCCTTTCATCACTATACAGGAGAAGGAAATCACTTTCTTTGCATTCTTGGGTACAGATGGCATTCTGGGGGATTTACGGGAGAGTGATTTAAATGTTCAAAAGACCTCATAGACTGAAATTGTTTAATCCCTGGCATTCAATTTTCTGCAGTTCTGGTGAGACTATGTATGTTAAATTACCACCTAGTTTTAAATTTGTAATCTTAAAATCAGTGGGAGAAAAGTTTTTCTCTTTTTTGATTTCTTTTTTTCCTTATCTTAACAATTAGTAATAGATTTTTCAAGACATCCAGTTCATCATTCTGCGCTCTAATAGAACTCGCATCAGCTAGTGGTTGATGATCCATATGATTGGAAATCCATGTATAGTTTTCTCTCTATATATGTTGCCATAAAAATAACTTTTTTCTTACTTCTGGAGGAGTAAGGGACAAAAGCTCATTCAGCATTTTTTATCTGTTGAAGATGATTTTGGGAGTATTAGTTTCATTATTGATCACATTTCAAAAATCTGCTCTTTTTGCTTTACCGCAGGGGGAAAAAAGTAATAATGATTTTTTAAAATTCATCCAATAACTTGTCTCAGATATTGAACACTGGGACAAAGAGAGACCAGAGACACAGACACTTAGCAATAAAAAACTCATTGTCTGTTCTTGTAAAGGATTCGAGACCTATGACGGTATGCACAGGCTGAGAAGCGGAGCGGGCTGAATTCAGAGGCAAGCTTCAAAAATACTCAGTTGACATTGGACTGTCAGGAGCATTGCTTCTATTTTATGATCAGATTCCTAGAAAAATCTCACACCCAGCTTCTGCAGTTTTTCTGTGTTCATAATTTTTTAAAATCTAGGCACATATTTATGTAGATAAATCTGGCCTGTAAGATAGTTTTTGTAGCTTCTCTGTTTTGGTCCCAGAAAATCAATGTTAGGCAGAAGCCTTCTTGGATCTTTATATAAAGATTATATAAACAGTGTCCTAAACTCATGAGAACCTACTTGGAAATTAGCTGTGTTGAAGGTGTCTTTTTGTCTTGCCCACTGCTGAAGGTGATTACCCATGCAGGCGGCATTTCTGCCAGCGCAGGAAGCCAGGGTAAACAGAAAATTGCTCTGTACTTGCTGAATTACATTCGTGAATTGCAGCAATGATTTTTTTCAGTTGCAAGTACTAGTAGTTAAGTAATGCTATGGAGGGAGGTATTCAAACCTTCATTAGTCCTTCTGTCTTTGTAGTTACAAGGACTTGGTGGATTTATTGTTGTACTCAAAAGGTTGCTTGAACATGAGGAAGATTAAGCATGTGCAGAGGTGTACCGTACATCATAGAGTTATACAATGCTTTATAAAGGGCTTTGTAGTTATCTAATGGTGATTTACTATTTAGTTTCTGTAAGGAGGCTGCATGTTGCTTTGTCTCTAGAGGGTTAGGAAATTTGCAGTGGAGGGTTTGCTTTAATTTTTTTTTT